TTTTTTGAAACTGTAATTTCTGAACTTTGAGTATATTGATTTTCTAAAAGGATGTATCTACTACGAGTGCTGTGAATCGAAGCGATCTAAAGTGATCTAATTAATAAGATACTTTGTTACCATTACTAAAAGTTCTTTCGTCTATTTTTCTAATCAACTAACACATAGAACAATAGCCATTGTAACGCATACTCACAGAAACTACAGTTTCGACAAGAACTACGCGATTCAACGATGCGAAAAGTTGCACAGATTAAAAAAAAAAAAAAAAAAATCCATGAACGAGCTGGAAAGTAATGTTAAAGTAGCCGCCAAAGTAGCAAGTCTCTTCAGAAAAAAAAGAAAAAAAAAACAGAGAACACTATCAAATTATCCGTAAAATTCCTTAGAGAAACCAGCTATAAAGTGATGCTGTAAAATGTAAGAAATTCTATGTATCGATAATTCGTTCGAAACAAGAGGGATCGTGAAGTGACGTGACGTGCAAGAAAAAAAGAGAGAGAGAAAGAGAGAGAAAGAGAGAGAGAGAAGAAAGAAAATCGAATGCAAGCAAGCTCTCATGCCACACGAAGTGTGGAACACGAAATTATACAATACGCAAAAAGGTGAGACGCAAAAGTATCGTCTCGCTGCAGTCAAAGGTCACACGATCCGCTTACAACAAGCTTGCAAAAAAACAGCGAGTGCACGAGTATAAAAATACAATCGATACAATTAGAAACTCGATGTGCAATCGGAGTGTTTTCGCCGACTGAAATGATGCAGATCTAACGTAGCGGCTCTGCGCTAAATAATTCTGTGATTCTTGGAATAAATTTAGAACCAAAAAAAAAAAAAAAGAAAAAGAAAAAAGAAAATGTCGAAAATCCAAAGGGAAAATGTGAAACGACGAAGTTGTCGTAAGTTATGCACACACAGAGAACGCGTGCGGTTACACACAGGCAATATGCATTAAGAATGTACAAACATATGCGAATACACGTGTTCGTTATTTACAGTTTAGCTGTGGATCGTCGTGGAGAAGATAAATAAAATAAACAAGTATAATAGCATCGTACATCGTACATCATCAACAGACAATGACGATTCAGAATCGTCCATCGACGATTAGTGTGTTGTCCATACGTACACTGTACTCGATCGATAGAAATAGCTTAAAGGTAGATATAGAGATCGGTGTGTGAATTACTTGATGTTGCGATTGCATAGATCGTCCATCGGAAGAAAGAAGAAACTCGGGACGGTTTGATTTATACTTTGGAGGAAACTCTAGAGATTTCTGTGCTACTATTCGTGTGTTTCAGAATTGCAAGAAGTAGTCAGTTATCAAACACTCATCGTGGTACTTCTACGTCATGATTCTTCGTCGATTGATCTACGGTGAAAAATGTTACTGATCGCAATCCCGATTATAATTTCCAGCCGTACTTACATCTCTAACAATTGAATTTGAATGCATTTGATCGTTTTCAGACATGATGTATATCAGGCTGTGATTATTTTATTTATTATAGACGCTGCGCGATTAGTTAACGAACCGGAATTTCCTTCAATGCGAAGAAACATAATTATAGAAGATAAGAAGCCGATATAAACATGTCACGTCTGAAAGAACAGAACGAAAATGCGGCAAAAATATTCAAAAATATTGCGCGGCGAATATAGGCGGATTGCTAATGAAATCAAAAACTGTAATTAACATTTTTCTCCGTGCATTATCGAAAGTCAGTGATGGGACTGATACAATATTCATTGGTAATCCTATAACTAGCTTACAATTATATCTTTTCTTCAAATTTAACTTATAATTAACACTTGTTTTTCTTTCAATCTGAACATATATTCAAGTTTCTTGAAAAAAAAAAAAAAAAAAAAAACATAATAAAAATGTTAAAAAAGCATATTTATCCCTTTTCCTATCTTTGTATTTTTAAAATCCATTTCGTAAAAAAATTACTTCTACACCACTACTTCCACATGAAAATCCATTAAACAGAAAAACAGTTTGTAAAAATTCTCATCCTTCCCAGAAAAGATCAATTACTATTCAGCTTACTCCACCCTATTATTCATTACGCAAGCACTATCTTATTCATCTCTCCAAATCTTATTTGAATCTTAACAAGGATTTTACCTCTGCCGTGATCTATCCCTTTAACTTCCCTTGAAAAAAAAATATTTCAACGTTTCAAAAACCCACCCTCCACCCAAACTGTCCATCATTTAATAATTTAATAATAATTTAATAATATAAACCTGTCGTTTATCAAATGCATCTCTCTAAATCCTATCTGAATCTCAGCAAAGATTTTATACCACTGCTGAGATCTATCACTTCCTTTTCAATGTTTCAGAGCCTATCCAAACCTAACTACCAATCAACTGCACAGATCTAACAAACTCCAGTCGCTGTTACCCGTTTCATATCAATCCCATCGCTACGATATATATCAATAGTGTTAGGGTAACGCAAGCCTCGAAAGTGGACGAAAAAACTATGTACGTATGTATATGGTAAATTTGTAAAAAAAAAAAGAGTATAGACATATACACGCCTAGAGAAGAAACTGTGGTAGGTAGAGTAGATTGTATTTTAGGTAGCGGATTGTGTTTTGCATTTGTACCATCTTCATGGTCGTTCCTGTAGGTAACGCCCTCGTGGCTGTGAGCACGGCCAAGCCTGTGCAACCGTGCCATCTGAGCCGCAACTTTGTAAGCAGGCGGTTGACGGCACTGTGTACTACCGATTCCTGGACGCATCGTCGCCATCGACGTCATGGTAGTCATGGTCGTGATCGTCGTCATAATGGTTGTTCCAGTCCCTGGTGGTGGAAGCGCCGCCGGTACTCCGAGACCCATGCCTACTCCTAATCCCGTAGTACCTGAAAACCCTCGACTCTCTTTCTCTCGATCTCTCACACCGCTGCGTCTCTCCCTTCCTCCTGCTTCTCAACAACTGCTCTCTCTCTCTCTCTCTTTCTCTCACTCCTCATATTCTCTTCACCGACGTGTCATACATTGCCATTTCTGCAACTCTGAACGAGCACGACTCTGAACGTGTCTCCAAACGACGGTTTTTTACACATTTGTGGGAGATCGCGAAGCGCAGGGAATATTTAAAATATGAATTATGCGTAAATATTCGCGCAGCTTACTCTAATAAATTCCATAATAAACAGTACATTGCTATGCCAATACTCGGTTTTACAGAAATTCTAGTTGAATCGTACGAAAATAGGATAAATTCGGAATTTTTTTTTTTTGTCAACTGTTTCATTTCATTGATCTTCAGATCAGAGGGGAAACTCGTCAGATACTCGTTCAGAATGCAGCGTCGAAAAAGAAGAGACGAACCGACGGATAGACGAGGAAACTGTACAGAAACACGCACGTTATTCACCGCTGGATCAGAACCCAAGAATAGAGTTGGAAAGCATAGTTAGAAAGACCAGTTAATGTATACCCTGAAAGGAAGCCTCGGTACTCCGTTAATCCTGAGGAAACGCGGCAACACAATCGAAGGAAAGAAAAGAAAAGAAAAGAAAAAAAAAAAAAACAAAGAACGATCACACACAACATTGTCGATGCAACGCACACACCATTTTCTATACGCACGCATGACCTGCATACACGTGTACGGCAGGCAACGATACTCACGTGATTATTAGCGTGCACACGCCAACCCTTCGAGCAAGCCATTAATACAGATTAAGCCGCCTTGTGCATCGCTGTATATACGTTTTATCAACGAATGCCTCAAGCTCAAACACGCGTTGCTTCCGGTCGGTACAGAACCTTCATCTACTCCAACGTCTACTCGTTTTCTTTTTCTAACGTATGCACGTATCTAAAGATTAGTAGCAGAGCCGTTTCATTCACTATTCAATCATCCTACGGACATCCATTCGCCGAGAGATATCATCATTAGTTATCATCTACTGTACTGTCATGCACGGATAATTCTACACGGATAATCCGGAAGCAACGCCGATCGCGAACAGACAGAGATCGGACAGAGGTTTTTCTACGAAAAATAGAGAAAGAAAAAGAGAGAGAAAGAGAGAGAGAAAGATATCAGCCAAAATTGCAAGGAAAGAAACTCAAGACAGAGAGGCAAGACTAATCGCGGACTCACCTTGAGGATTTTGGGGTTGGTGATGGTGATGATCGTAATAATGTTGGTGGTGATGGTGATGGTGGTGGTGGTGATGGTGGTGATGATAATTATTGTGGTTGTGATTCTGGTTGTGGTTGGCAGGAAGCGGAGGTAACACTGCTACCGCGTGAGGGAACGGAGGTGCACCACCTCTCAAAACAGACCCTGCACCACACACAGGCCACATACGAAATGTTTCTTTACAAAATATACAATCGCACACCGGTGATTTTTTTTTTTTAACATCGGTGGTATCTTTTCTCTTTCTCCTTTTCATTTCTCTGCTTTAACTGTACAAATATAAATGTTTTTTTTTTTTTTTTTCTTTGTGAAAGGTAAATTAAAGAGTTGACTGACAGAAATTTCTTGTTAGAAAAAAAAGAAAAAAACAAAGAAGGGACATAGTTATATTTCGAGGAGTGAAAGAAAAATAAATTTCTCGATGTTTCCCTCTCTTTGAAAATGAAGGAAGATTCCTAGAGTGAGTGCCGCGAGTGGAAAGATCGTAAAAATTGGGTCGATGTGTCGTTATATAAATATCGATGTATGCGTGTATGCGTGAATAATGCCCCCTCTGCGTAAAGAAGCGAGTCTCTGTGAAAGAAGCTTCAAGCGATAAATGTACTGAAAGCAGTTGGAACTCCCGGGATAGAAGCGGCTATGAAGCACGTTTACCTACGTTATCGGCGACAACGCTCGACTAAACGATAAATAAATAAAATAACCGGACAGGTACGGTAAAAAGAGTGTACGCAATATACATACACGTAACGTATTATATGCTGTATAGCTTAAATTGCACGGAATTTGTTTCTTCTTAACTATCATATATACAAGAGGGAGAATGAAGATGAGTGGCCATGGGACATACGTTTCTTTTTATTTCTTTTTTCTTTTAAATCTAATCGTGTCTAAAAAATCTAATCTAATCATATATGTTAAAATCAAATCGTGACTCGGAACACGGTGAAACGAATGACTCGAAGGAACAAACGGACTATGATTTTGTGAAACAATAAACTGTAACGAGAGAACATTTTCGATTTTGCTTTCACGAAGAACGAAGAAAAAAAAAAAAGACAGAGAGGGAAAAAAATAAAAAATAAAAAGTGAAAAACAGATGTGACAATTACTCGATGAATACTCGATGGAAGTAATCAAGAGACGTACAACAGATATCACACGTTTTCAAAAAAAAAAAAAAATCATTCTCTGTGTTTACTAACTACTAAAAATATCCAACGTTACGTCACACACTACTTAAAAAAAAAAAAAGAAGAAAAAAAAGAAGGAGAGCAAAAATTTTTCTCTGTACGATCACTTTTGCGATTACAAACGGAAAACAGAGACTCATAGAACACCCAACCACGAGACGAACTTTCACGCAGTTACATTTGTCAATCAACGACATACACGATATACATGTGTCGTCCGTAACGACAACATTTTAATTTAAAAGAATAAAAAAGAATAAAAATTAAAAATATACGAAGGAGGCAACTTCATCTCGTTGGACCACTTCAGATTCTTTCTTTGGTTCTACCTACTAAACTACGGTCTACGAAGGCAAAAAAAAAAAAAAAAAAAAAAAAGAATAGTACAAAAGAGGTAATGAGTACGAGCTTTTGGAGTTATTTGATCTCTTTTGGTTCAAGTTTACGTACCTTGCATGGCGGAGTGCCGTCTTTGAGGTGGCGGTGGACTACCACCAGCTTCTACGCTGCTTCCACTGTGGCTGTCCAGCTGTGTACTGTGACCACTGTCACTGCTCGTCACCGAACCTACGCACACGTCCCCAAGACACTTCTATCACTACACATTCTAGCCCAGTTTTCGCCCCGATGCGCACGCTAACTGCTAATTAGTCTAATAGACATTAATCGCGTCTCCGCGGACACGTGTATATCCGTATATATCATTCTTTCTCACTTCCTTTCTCTTTCTCTTTCTCTCTCGCTCTCTCACTTTGAGAAAAAAAATAAAAAAATAAAAAAAAGTAAAAAAAAAAAGATCAGAGCCAACGAATGTCAGTTCGTTACGCCCACAGAAAATGTCGGATACGACCGCAATTAAAAGTCGCGCTCGCACAGCATTTGTTTTTCAATGCACGCCTACCAGAGATCGTCCTTCTGTAAGCGACTACGCTATTAGCTAATGAAATTCTAATAAAGTTCAAGATTCGTGTTGTCTTTATCTTTAAGGGGGAAAGAATGAAAATTGGAAAACATCAAATCCTGGAAAATGTCACATTTATCAGAAGGAGGCCATATTCCCAGGAGCAATATTTCTATTTCCTACGATATAATTAATTGTCGGTCGGTTTTTTAATCGAGGAAAATATTAAGAAAATATTATTGTAAAGTAAGTAAAATTTGTAACTGCTATTTAAGTTTGTTCGTAAAAAGTGATTGAAAAAAAAAAAAAAAGAACATAAAGAGACTAAGAGCATTGAGATTAAATCGCTGAAGGATGTGATTCACGCGTCCGTATGTCCCATGGTGAGTGATCTAAATTGAAGCTAGACGTGCTTCGCCCTGGGATCGGGACCGTGGTTGTGTATAACACGGGACGATAATATTGATCGTAAAAGAAGCGCGAGCTACGGTAATCGGCGTACAAGATGCGTGTAAAATGGATAAGCTAAATATAAACATGGAACATTTATGAATTGCGTAAACGGCTGTGCAGCGTGCATATAAAATGAGATAGTTCTTTAGAATTTGCGAGATCTGACCAGTGTGTACGGTCACGAGCAATGAAAAGGTGCATTTTTTTAATGGTACTTCGCGAGATGTGTCTGCTGTATTTGTGTGTCGCAGTAAAACAACGTTCAAAATAAAAATAGAAAGAAGCACCATGTGATTTATCGTCTAAAGCTAGCAACATGTATAGAGACACAGAGAAAACTTGACACTATAAAGTATATATGTTTTGTATATGTGTGTGTATACAATGTATGTCAAACGATGATCGACAGCATCTCGCTTCGAACCATTTTACGTGTCGAAATTAATCAACTTACCACTGGTCAACGTTTTTCTTAACGGCTGAAGATTGCTCAGGCTGGTTACGCTACTACTTTCAGCGCTGAGATCGACAGGTGGTGGTAAACTGGAAGGAGTATCGCTATGGGATCTCTCATGCATAGGAACTCTGCTACCAGATCCTACTCTCCTAGGTGCACCGGGGCTAGGCTCCAGTCCACTGGAATGCAACGCCAATCCAGGCACTGGAAGCGCTGGTGGACAATGTTTTGGTTGATACGGACGAGTTTTGTGAGGGTCGGAAAGCGCTAACATTTTCCTTACTGCTTGCGGTGACGCGGCTCCGAACTTTGTACCTGAAAATACATAATAATGAATATTTTACTTGCTACTTTTTACAAAAGAGTTGAACTTACGTAAAATTACAATGAACGACAAAAAGAAATCTTACCTTGTATACTCTTTCTACCTTCACTGGTGCTGCTGGCACTGCTTGTAGTCGACAAAGTTGGCGAAGGATGCCTTCTTCCTCTGCTCCCGCTAAGAGGTACTGCTGCGGCTACCGCAGCAGTTCCTGCATGAGGTTCACATTCCACAGACAGAGCGTGTAATCGTTCCTCGTCAGTTATTACTTTCATATTAGCAAGGTACGCTTTCACTCTTCGAACCATCTGAGCCTCTTCGAACATCTTTTTCGGATTTGGCGCAGCCGTAGATTTTTTCCGTCTCTTTACTGTTGCCGTTTGTCCTCCTGGACATTGCAACACTGTTAGTGAAAACGAATTATCACATTTTTGGTCTTGTTTCTACGTGTTTGTGTTTACTCACCTTGATTTCCAGTAGTCATTTGATTTAACGCAACCATGGCAGAACTAGGTGGTTGGCCACCTTTCTCTAACATTATCGACAAATCGTAGGGCGAAGAACACATATTCGTCAACGTTCTCACTTCTTTCGCAATCATTCTCAGCTTTTCGAAGTTCACCAAACCTTCCACTCTGGAATCGTTGCCAAGGTGTATGAACGTCAAATCCTTTTTTACTACTGGATAAAACGGAATCTGAAAAGAGAGAGAAATATTTCGTGTTACTTTATTGCCTGATAAACAAAATATTGGTGTATAGAAGTAAGACTAGAACTAACTATGGGAGGTTGCGTTTGTTCAGCCGCTACCAATTGTCGATATTTGCTCATGTTACGGCTAGGATCCATTAATTCTTGTAGATCGCTGAAGAGCCTTTGATATTTACTCGGTAGTTTTTCCCAGGAAGCTCTTAATCTCGAAACAGCTCCATGTCCCAAGCCGGACACAATCGCAAACATGGAATTGAAATTTCTACATTCTTTACATTGTCCTGTTTAACAAATAAAATTAAAAATTTTAAAAATCTGTTAAAAAATTGTTGTTAAAAAATTTGCACAATAAAGAGTTTCAGTGACTGAGCATAACATATACTCACGGGCTATTTTTATAAATTGTTTTATTATTTTACTACGTCGAACAAGATTATGTTCAGAACAAACTTCTGTCACAACCCAAAACATTTCTCTGTTGACTAGTTCTGCAAACTGCCTGAGCATAGGCACTCCGTATCTACCGTTTAATTCAAATAAATCATCCACGTACTCCGTAGATTCAATTTGCCTAAAAATAATATAAAATTGCATAAAAATGATATTTGCAAAAAAAAAAAATTAATATTATTGTCAATTTACCTGAATATACTAAAATCTTGTAGGGTCAGTTGAATCGCGACTTCAACGGCATTTAATTGTAAGAAATGAACCTGAGATTCACGTATAAGTTCTGGCGCTTGTTCATCTGCTACGAATGTCTCCGAGATACCATTAGTTTTTAAATAATACCGAGAACTTAAGCCAATTCGTTCTGCAAGGTTTTGCAATTGATCAGGTAACCTGCGTTGTTTGATCATTCCCCCTTCTCCAACGCTGACTTCAGCTAAAGAAAAATTCGAACTGCCTTCGGCAGCGGTTATACCAAATTCTTGAAGGGCGAGCATTACCACCTAAAACGATGTATTAGCATACAAATAGAAACGTTCAATCATGCATATTGTTTCCCCGAGATTAAAATATCTACCTCATGCGCCGTTGTTTCCTTATGAATAAGAAGATATTTACAAGTTTGATCGGCTTTATAAACTTTCAAAACATGTTCCGGATAGTCAGGCGCCCTCAAGTCGTCATAACAATATAACGACGTAAGGTCGGGATTACTTTTTGAGTGATAAAGATTGGTAGTCTGTGAAAGTCCTCCTGTTCCAGGTGGTGTATGCGGAGGTGCAAGAGGATCGTCTACGTGTACACCATCACTGTAAAACAAATTCACTCTCATGTAAAATATATTTTCTTTAATTAGAAAAAGAGAACGTTGTCTTTAACGTACTTAATAGTATTCTTTGGCAGTATATTCATTTTCATGAGAGCTTTTTGCAATCTCTTTTTAGGTCCAAGCGTCATGAATCCTTTATGCTCTTTTTTAGCATCTTTACAAGGAGAAACATTTGAATCGGGTATTAATAGCGGAACACCGCCCACTAAAGGATTCAATGGATTTCCTGGAGTTGTTATCGGGTCCACGTGCGTGGACAATCTTGCCCGTGGATCTGTTTGTATTCTTGAAATCTCGGGTTTGTTTGCCCTTCCCCGCGGCCTCGGCGAGTCATCTGGTATCTGAAGCATTTCTTTAAACGCTACAACAGTAATTCATTGCTCGCATAAAAGAAATTATAATCCACAGATTATCGTCTCTGTAAGATAGCACATACCAAGTAAGTTTGATCTAACAGTTATACTAAGATGAGTAGATCCCCTTAAAATTTCGAGAGCCCTGGCGTGACTCACATGCTCGAAACTCTGTCCATTTACTTCTAAAATCTGATCACCACGTTTCAAACCGACATCTTCAGCCTTTGACTTTTTATCCACTTTAGAAATAAAAATGCCGAAACCTCTTTCATATCCTCCTAAAATACTAAAATGCAAGACCTCGTCTCTTGTTGGCCTTGCTAACGTTACATTCCGCGTTCTCGCTTTCGCTGCACACGCAATGTTTAATAATCTGGAATTTATTGAAAGATTTTAAAGTAACGTAAACGCTTGATAATTATTACACGAATATAAATTTAGCAAGATTGATGTACACCTTTGTTGTCCTTGCATTTTCTCTCTTTCTAAACCAGCTTCAAATGCTTCCAAAAATTCCATCATAGCAGGATCAGTTTCAAAATCGGTAAAATGATTATTTACCCAAAGAAGTACTACACGGGCAACTCTATCCCTGACTTGTGATTGATCAAACCATTCCAACAATTGAGTCGCAACTAATAAAGGACTGTCGATAAATGTTCGATGCGTTAATAAGAAATCTTCTATATAAGTGGGATCGGTAAAAGTGTTTTCTTCAATAAGTTGTAACATTAAACGTTCAGGAGTCCCACGAATAACTACATGACCCCTCCGTGTTCCTCCATCTGAAGAACCTCTTAATTCAGTTACTAAAATCACTCTCCCGTTTTCTTCGTGCCGCCTTGTATTTTCTTCTCCTTGATGTTGAATTCTAAAATAATCTGCCTGAGTAACACATACAAATTGGCAGTCATCACATCTGAAAACGAAATAAAAGCGTATCAGTGCAATTTTCAATTTGACAACTACTACTAGTAGTAGTAAATATCTAACGTAGAACTGACTTTGTCCTCATGACACCTCTATGCAAAAGTCTTTCCATAGTGGGCAAGATTCCAAAACTGTCACCAAGGTGCAGCTGTTCAATTTCTCCATTGCTATGCTCAATTTCCACAGCACCGTTTATAAGCACACTCCAACTGTCTAGCTCTTCTCCATCATTTAAGACTATCATACCAGCACGTTCAACCACAGCGAACACCATTACAGCGCACAGCGCTCTTCTTACTGCCAAGGTCATGTTTGTGAAGGCCTTTAACTGTTGAGTGAATTCTAAGAGCGTTTCTATATCTTCTTCTGTTCTTTCCAGAGGATCTTTCTCCAAACATTCTCTGACTGGATCACGGACAGTCAAGCTCTGTGAACACATAAAGTTTGGTTAATTTAATCTTCAATTTTATTAATTTATCAGTTGATAAATATACTCACGTCCATGCTCTCTGCAAGATCTTCCTCTTCATCGCTATCCACTATAGATTCAACAAGACCAGAGAGATCAACGTCGTCCGCGTCTGCATCTAACGAACCTTGTACGGATGTCATGGTGTCTGAACCACTGTATGCTGAACTTGTGTCACTCGAATGGCTGCTTCTGTTGGATTTTTGGTACAGCTCTGGCCTGCCTGTCAGGCCCTGGGAAAACTACAAAAAAACAAAATTCTCCAGTTAGTTATCCTTTAGTTGATTAATATTACACTTTATTGTCGCACAATTTTCAGTAGAAACTTGTGTAAAGATCACTTGGTGTCAAGCATTTGTGCTCGACGAGTATTAAATATTTATATACTAAATATTTATAGCCGCATCGATTTACTATTAAACATGACGTACATCGTAATACGTTCGCATTAATTGAAGGCGTTCAGCATATTCCCTTTGTTATTGCTACATTCTCAAATATGTTAACCAAACTGTTTACATTAATGTTCCTGCCAGACGATGTTGATACAAAACAACGCATTCTTAGTCGCGATGCGGCAATTGCGATTTTATAAACAATAGCACGGTGCAAATCCAAGAGAAGATATCAATGCACCGTTCGAACTCTCTCGCGGGAAAGAAGAGAGAGAAAAAAAAGAATAAACCTACGAAGAGAGCAACGTGCAATCTATCTATCATCTATCGACATCGATCTGTCAATCGGCAGGAAGAGGTCGCAAAGAACAGACTCAAGAAACATGTAGGGCAAAAACATAAGTGCGACGAGCGGAGCTCGTTTACGGAATAGTACCAGGAATGGGCGTGATGGGGGACAGGCCTGCTTTTAAGTTAGGTTAGGTTGTCAGACATGACATCACGCACGCAGAGCATCGGGCAACAGCCAGAGAAAAACACGCACGGCGAAAGAAAGAGACGGGAACAGTGACACGAATATCTAAACAAGAACATTCGTGACATCTGTCACCCAATGATGATCGGCCGACGATCATCCCACGATCGACGACGGTGGCCGGATCGTTGGAGGAAAACCGCGAGCAACGAGAAAAGTAAATCGCGATAAACCCAAGGCCATTTTGAAGCCCACGGCTGATCGTCAAGAACTCACTTGGTACATGCCGAAGGCGTCCATCCTGTCCTCTTAACTAATGGCACTTGCTCGGCACTATGCTCCTTTGTGTGTTTTAAACAACATGGGAAACAACACGAGAAGAAAAACGAATTAAGTGCTCGGGCTACATCTTCCTTTCGCTCTTGGTCCACGTTTCGATCGAACACGCGAAACTGGCACCTCTCACTCGCGGGCACATACGCGGCTGTATACACACGCAACGCGACGTGACCTTCTTTATATGCATTTACGAAGCTCGTGGCGCATCTAGCGTGCCCCGGTGTCGTAGACGGTCAGCTTAGTGAAGTAGCGGACATGGGACTGCCTCTCGTCCCTCCCCCACCAATCGCTCAGCCACCGGCATTCCCTTCGAAAGTCGAGGGTCACGTGACCCGGCCAAGCGGCAAACTTCAGGTCCGTCTCAATAGGGGGGCGCGCGTTGGGGGGCCCACCTGTAGCTTCTGACCGTGACAGTAACAAAACGCCTCGAATCAATGAAGCGTCGCCGGTATTCAATTCCAAATTTTTCGCTTCGTCCTGCTTGCACTACGTTAATAGTCAATCACTCGATTACTCGTATCTTAAACTTCTATCGTATCGCTCGACACTTCGTTCCGTGTTTCTTAAATCGAGGAAATCTCTTCTAAACATCTCGATTTGGTCCAACATCGAACGTGTAAATTTTAGAAGCAGTCGCAAAACTGGACGAAACTTCACGTCTGGATGAAATAAATCTTCGTCTGTAAGTAATCTATGATATTCAGAACGTTCAGTCGATTACGCTGTATCGAGAAATCGTTCGCGTCCTAGCACCATTGTATAAAATTTCCGCGCGAAAATAGGAGATAGGCGAAATGAAACGTGGGGCTAAAGAGCCGGTCGTGTGGAACGAGCTTAAGGAGTCGACGGTCGGTCAATCGTCAGTCGGTAAGCGATTGAGAGAGAAGGAGGGTGCCACGGTGAAAAGAGTACCGGTCTACTCAAAGCATCCAACACAGCGGATAGTAACTGCTTAAAGGCCACTGGCCGACCCGACGGATGATTTATACGACCCGTTATGTCGTGCTCGTGTCTCACTTTTCCTTTTCTCCTGCTCCGCAGACTTTCCAAATTGCTTCTCCCATTCAGTTTCGTCCTACTCGACCGGGCAGACACTGGCATACCAGCGCATACCACCGATGCACATTCCACTGACTCTTTAAGAGAGGGACACTGTAATGTAGATCATCTTACTCGCACGCGTTGCGCCTTAACGAACTTTCGATCCGGAGCGCCGCGTGTCGGTAAATACTCTAGTGGAGGGAAAGCTGAACTTCCTTCGATCTTGTTCTTTTTTTTTTTTTTAGCACGAAATTTAAATTTCCACATTTCGAATTGAAATTTCAAACGCTATTTCTATCGAAGTGACATTCTGTATAAATTTCAATTCATTTCTGAATGAGAGAGAGGGAGAGAGAAATCATTACTGCCTTAATCCCTTAGCAGTAGTAGTACTACAGTAGTAGTTGAGGATTAATATTAATGTTATATTAAACATTATGAAAAATATTTTATATACCTTGAATACGTTATTAAAAATATTGCAAAATATACCATACACTTTCAAGCCAATAATAGAATATAGAAAGAACCCAGGGAAAAAAAGAAAACAGCATATATTACAATAAAAAAATTAATTTTCTCCGAGTGCAACCGTATAAATCGTATTCCGCGTTACGTTCCACTTTCCAACTGAGGAAAACCTTTCCTCGGTTTACGATCGCTGTTTACTCTTTGCAACCTGGTGAATATTCCACGTATACGTGTCGATGGAAATAAGAAAATGCACGAACTGATAAAACTTCTCTTCACGAGGGAACGAGCGTACATTTAAAATGCATGAGAAAACATACAATGTGGAGAAAAGAAAAAAAAAGACTACTTTAAAAAGTTTTACATCACTGGCCGCTTTCGATACGATCTTCTCATCTCTCTTTCTCTCGCTTTTTCGATTATCGAGAACACGTGAGCGCACTGAACACATCGCGGATCGACAGCACTAAACTTTCTTTCAACGACATGCCGATGATGTAAGACAAATGATCTTGAATCGTTGCGAGGAAAATGTTCAGCAAAAGTGCACGCGATTCATCGATGGGATTACGAGCCGTGAGTTTTTCAACCAAATACTTTTATGATCGAAGATTACAGAGAAATTATTAAAATTGGATTTTCAAAAATCAATTGGATACAAATTCCATTCCATTCCGTTCGTCTCTTTTGGATCAATATATTTATAAAGTTCAAGCGCAGAAGTTCGGGTTAAAGAAAGGGACGTGAATTCTTTCTTTAAAAGTGATCTGCCTGAAAGTATGCGTGCAATTTCTGTCTGAAAATGGAAGAAAAGAAAATTCGAAAACAGATGTTTACCGTGTCATCGAAGACCAAGTTGACCTGTCGATGGTCGGTTATGGGATGAGGGTGCGGTGGTCGATGCATCCTTCCTCCATGCACTTCCGGATAGTCGATCTGTCAAACAAAAAGACAAAAATAATTAGAGAAATAATCGCAAATGAGAATTACAAAATATCAACGGGAAATAACTGATTTAATCGATACCATATGGAAGTTCGGAACTACTCTCTCGTGGAAATTGTAAAATTTAAATAAAAACCCCTTTCATTATCTTCTCTTTCGACATTCCCCAATAATGCATTTGAATTTCGCACATAAATTTCACTCGATCGATAAAGCGATTCCCTCGGCGATTCCCTCGCAATCAGCGCGCCAATATTTTCTGGCTCGCGTTAATCTTTCATCTTTTATAAATCACGGAACGCTGCAATTGACACCCTGCGGTTTTCGAAGCTTAGAAATATATTTTGTTTGACAGGACGTCCACTAATTGCTAAAAGACATCTCTGGATCAAATAAATTGCTTTTCTTCTTAATGTACATTCTTTTGATCATCAAACGGCATCAAAATCAGAAAAATCTATATTCTCCTGCAATCTATATACGTAACTAGAAACTTTTTAACACGCATAAGCATTTTTCACCCTTTCATTTCTCTCGCGATACATTTAACAACAATTTCACTCTATAGAAGCAAGGAATTTAATTTTCATCAGAACGTTTTCTCGTTCCGATCCTCCAATTCCAAGTACACCCCTCTCTCTACAATCAACATTCATCAAACTACCATTTCGCAGTAAATTCGGCTGGTCGAACGCAAGCTCGAGAGCAACGTCAACGCGTGGAGCGTGTTTCGAATTTCTGGAATGACAAACAAGCTCCTCCAACGGCGTTGATAATCTAATCCGGTTCCACCTGTGACTTCTGCAGCTGCGTCAACTTCTCTCGCCCCCTCGCTTAGAGATTCCTGTCTCTCTTTTTCGGTCAACAGCGTTCGTTGTTCAACGATGTGCATGGTTGGAAAAAAATGAGAGAGAAAAAAAGAGAAGAAGAGAGGAAAGAGAGAGAGAGAGAGAGAGAAAGAAAAAAAAAAGAACACGGAGAGACAACGAGATGAGCGTGAGCTCGAGGCCGGAACCCGTAGGCCGGACTTCCGGTAGATACGCCGATTATAGTCACCATTCACAGAACCGCTCCCTCGCGACTCGATTGTTAGAGGCGGACAGCATTTAGCCAATTTCGGGATGAAAGTTGAATTTCCATCGGTCGGCGATACGTTGATTCGATTGGGAACAGCCGATGCGAAACGCGGTGTACACGTCGCGAAAAATATTGTTCGACACGCCGGAAATTAACGAAACGCCTTCCTACGGTGCGTTGTTGGAAAATACATATCACCGTGTGCGTGTATGCGTGTTTACACGGTAACGCGTAACGCAATCCGTTTCAAGTATAACGTTTGACGCGATATTTTCACTGATTTATAACTTTTAATTGGTTCCTACTGACATGTAATAATCGTCGCGGAAATTTATTTGTGGAAACTTTACGATCGAATATTTTCACGCATGTGCGACGCTCACATTTTTATTGAAAAACGATTGGCATTACGTGTATTCTGCAAAATCTTTATATCTTTAATCTGAATGCAACTTAATCCTATTCTGCCTCGTGTCTCGTTCCTAATGCTTTTCATCAAATATCGTAGTTTTACGATATGAGAAAAAAATAGAACTACCAGGTTCGTTTCCTGTTTAATTACGTTTCAAGTCACGGTTTAATGAGAAACATGTATGCAACATGTCCGAACAAATACAGTTTCAGATACAGTTCTGTAGAAATATTCATGTAGTTAATATTACAGTTAAGGTATTATTACAGATATAATTATCATACGAATATCGTACTCGTGCCGCGAAGAATGCGATGTAATAACAATTGTTCAACGTATTAATTAAGTTAGACGCAACAACATTCTGAAGAATCGTTAAGCTAAAACCGCAAGCTCCAAAATTAACAAGTAAGCAACTCATCCAGTTTTTTTTTTTTTTAACTCGTTTCGTTAGAAATACATCTTTCTTTCCACTTAGAAATCTCAACGACATAATGAAACAGAACATAATATTTTAATTATCCATTACCCGAGCTAACCAATCCCTTGTCTCGCGTCTTAAATCACAATTCATCACTATATCGAAGAGGCTACAGATGAAAGTATGCTGTACAAATTGTTTCAGCCATGGACCGCAAAGAATTCAAAAGAGCGGACCATTTTTTTTTTCTTCTTGCCAAGCAACCTCCATTATACCTACCAATTATCATCAGCACTATAATTTCTCTCCACAGAACATTAAAGAATATTTATGAAGCATTGTTTGCTCGCGGTAATCTCCATACGTTTATTTTTAATGTTGACGTTCCCATCTTTTATATCGTTTGAATTTATTCTGATTTCACGAATGGTAATATTTTCCCTGATACGTTTTATTGCATGCGAGGTTTTAAATACGTTTGTTACTTATTATAGTTTACCAATTTGCGGTAATTTTTAATTATATTTTCACGGTATATTTAAATATGTAGTACTTTTTAATATGGTAGTCTTAGAAAAAAAAAATTAGCAATTCCACGCGTTTATTTTAATAGAAACTGTTTCTACTAAGATTCAACTTTTAATTTTTTTTTCAAAAACTTCCTTATTAGTCGTGAGACATGTTAAATTACCTCAAACGTGACTGTTATAATTACATAATATTTTTAAATTAACATTCTTTACTATACTAGACTATTACCATACGATAAATGAACAAATATTTATCAGTAGTTGACTTCTTCTAGACTTTCACGATGTAAACAGTGAAAATCAAACTTGATAACTGATTGTCCTGAGAGTCCAATTATCTCTGTTTTTGAGAAATTATCATACATATTCGTGAACGTTCGATAGTCTATGTAACTAGTGCGTACAGATACTCCATTTTAGCTTTTCTTCATCTCGAGCTTGATCTCTCGACGAGTATCCCTCGAACGGACAAACAAAACGCGCAGGAGAGAAACGAAATGGATCACGTGCCACGCTCTGTTTGCCTCTACGCGAATTAGAATGGCGCATCGCGCGCGGTTCGCGGACTTTGCGAGCGTACAGCCAACGTAGAAAATGTGCGTCAACGTTCCCTCGTTGCATAATCGTCAATATATGCATAATTACAAGCAATCGAATGTCAAGTCGCTAACGCAGCGTAATCCTCCGTTCTTTCGTCATTTTTAGCCGCGTAACTTTTGATGGATCTGAAGTGGTTCAAGATCGCCTTATACAACTGAATTTCAAGTGGAATTCAGGAAGTGTGTCTGTCAGAAACAACCGAAGCTTCGTCCATTTTGTAGTTTAAGGACAGTAAGTACGATTTGGTAAATTAGTCAACAACAAGCTGTCAGTATCAAATTTCAAAGCTGTACGAATGGCTTTTGCTAATTTTTGATTTTCACATTATCAGCCAGGTGGCTCTGGTAATTTTATAAAACACGAGGCTGCGGTACAAATTTCAGATCAAGCGACTTGATCAGCTGATTAACAATTGCCTAATTTAACCGGCGGTTCTTCAAGGTTCCCACCAGCGCCAGAGGTTTGGCAATTGTTGCCCGTGACACTGTGAAACACTTCGGTGTTTCTCGATACCGGTCAATGTTTTTGGGTCTCGGTGATGAAATCATTTCGCAATTGTCCGCGCATCGAATGTCTTGACGTCACGTTCTTCCTTTCTTTTCATCGTCGAGCATTTTTCGCAAAGAACTGTTCTCGATTTTTGGCTCGTGCATGACGAAGCTCAGGCACGAGCTTGACGTTAAACTCACACTTGACCGCATTGATAGTACTTCAAATTACTCCATCGATTAATAATCAATACGCTCGACTGATAAGAACATACTAATACCAATTTCACCTAACGCTCAAACATTTTTGAAATACACGCAGGCAAATCTGTTCGATCTCCGATTATCGAATAATCTTATCAATCGATACGCCACACGATTTACATAAAAATGCTTAAACTTCGTTCCTACGACTCGATAATTATCAGTTTGGAGATTAGCTTCTCTCAAAGCCTACAGAGAACAGTGTCACATTGAATCTTGTGCAAGCAACTTTTTTTCATTATTATTTATTAGGACATAGATGTCTCTCATTGATTCAGTAACGAAATAACTCCAAAAGGTTGGCATGTTGATTGAAAAGATTCACTTTTTTTCATTCAGGACGATTGAATTGAGTAAACGCCAAGCACCGTGCGAAAATTCATCTCGGGCAATTACGCGGTGACGAACGATCGGCTCGCGTTCTTGCCCCTTTATCTTTCTGTTTGTCCTCGTTATATATATTCACACTCCGCGTGGGCCCTTCGACGCCGCGTAGGCGAGCGCATACGCGCGTGCGTGCAGCCGCGAGTCGGCGATAAGGCGACACATTTCTCCCGCGAATGGGAGAACGCTCGACCCGTTTCATTTCGTTTTCAATAAACGTTGTCCGTGACAAAGAACACGGCTGTTAATTAATCAGGCATAAAAGTTTTTACAATATCGACGCAGTCACAGAGACAAATCTTAGATAGAGTATGTCAATCGACGAAGAAATAAATCGATAAATATATTAACGTTGAGAATTTTGTCAAAGTTGAATTTAAAAATTCATCCCACCAGAATAACCAGCAGAAGGCTCCTCGAAAATGGAGACGTTTTGTTCTCTATCAGGTGTTGTCACAGCAACAGTCTTTTTAATTTAAATAAGTCTAATGGGAGAGTTCGTTATTAAACGACGTAATAAAAGGGAAGACTGAATAGATCAATACGACGCTAAAGATGAATGGCTCGGGGTTCAAGCGCGTTGGCAACTAGAAATCTGTCGTATTTACGAGAAAATATTTATAATTAAGTTTCACTTTAACTTCTATGAGGAGACCTACGAAGCAATGCGTAACTTCCTATAAATAAATCGCTCGATAATAATAATACAACTAAACAAAATAGAACGACGTAGTCGCTAGTTACAAGGAGTTAAAACTAGACTCGTAGCCTGATGTGGTTGATGAAATAAACTGGCGAGGTGTGTTTCTCCAATTAACGTCAACGAAACGTTTGTAATTTATAAAATGTTCAACTCGTAGCCACTCGAATCGAAAATCTGCGCAGTCGTTCAATTAAGAGAGAGAGAGAGAGAGAGAGAGAGAGAGAGAAAGAGAAACAAAAGAATTCAACTCGATTTACAACAGGGACGAACGACGAGAAGTGCCGCGAATTTCATTATTTTCCCTGATTCATGTTAATACGGCCACACGCCAGTTATAAACAGACGGTAAATTCAACGTTGAATCACCTTCCCTCTGTTGTCACGAGGGTTCGTAACCTCGAATTCTATTTACCAACATAAAAACCGAAGCGTTCTATAAATTTTGCCGCGTGCCCATCGCTCGATTCGAGCACGAACGCGGCTGCTAAATTTCCATGTAAATAATTCCGGGAAATATTCCGCGGCGTGTGTATGTAAATGCAGCGTGGCACGCTCGACGCTCTTGTCCATTCGGTTTCGTAAGCCGTAAGATTCGACGTTTCCTTTTCGACATCGCCGCGATTAAGAAACGAAACTGTTGAGATATCGCGGCGTATTGAGATTAACGCGTTGCGTGCGTATCGGGCTTTGCTGTATTTTACTGATTCTCAATGAAAATTCTGTTTATTCAAACTTCAGCCAGCGAACGTTATTCATATTTGTTTCGATCTTTTCCTACCGTGTTACCGTACGAAAATTTTTATGTCAGATTTCTCATTTATTCTAGCATATAGTGACGGAAAGGAAAGATACTTATTTTATAATTCTACAATTATTCTGTTTCTGTAATTAATTAAATCACTCTGTCGCCGTGTGTTGTTAAGTACCGAGTGATTTTGGTGAAACGACCGTGTCTAAATTTTTGTAAATTTGTGAGTTTTTACCTCGTTCGAGACAATCGATAAGGGCCTCGGTGTGCCAGGCCAGCTTCTGGACAACGAACGACCTTTCCTCTTCCTCGTGACGACCCGAGGCCGTCCAGTTCGGTTCATGTGCTTCAACATTTTCGTCGGATCGGATCAACTTCACGCTCGCGTCAATTACAATATTTCACCCGCTGTCTTCAGTTTCCATTTCAATCGAGTCCACACCTTCGAAAGCACACACCTTCGTCCTTTGTCTTCCTTTCGTTCAACGCACCCATATTGAGCCGCACATCTTTCAACATCTCCGATCTTCGAACACGAATGCGTACGCACAACGAATCCAACGGAAGTATGTCGCACTTCTAACACACTGTAAAACTTGGCGCTACGAATAAAATCGCCAAAGACCGGAATCACTTCACCGATCGCCCCCTTTCACTTTTCAATTACCCGGCGACACACACACACACTCACTCACAGAGAGAGAGAGAGAGAGAGAGAAAATAGTGTTTAAAACCTGTAATACACAATTCAACTATGGAACTATCAATCGTACCGTACGTACGTACTCGATTGTACGTGCTTTCACGTGCTTTCACTAATTTATCCCCGTTTCCACGACTGAGAAAAAAAGAAAAAAAAAAAAAAGAAAAAGAATCGCGCGCGATCGATCGTTCTTCGAAATAAATAGAAAGGAATATAATTTATATGTCACGCTGGTAGGTCGTACGAGCCGAGTGGAAGTAAGAAACGTGTCAGGAGTAAGACACGCGGCGGAGATACCACTGTCCTCGTTAAAACGGCACACTTCGAGAGCACACGGCTCGCTTAATAAGTCACCGATAGCCGATCCGCGATAAAACATTCAACGGTGGATCGGACTGTGCCGTCTCGTATCAAGGTCGGAATATCTTTGGATTATCGGTGAAAGGTGCAATTCTGGCTCGCCAGTGCTGCTGCTGCTGCTGCTGCTGTTGGCCCATACTGTGTCAGAACACGCGTTACCGAGCACATCGCGCGGGTCACGATCGACTGAATCGTTTCACGATTCTTGAGGGCCAAAGAGAGTGACTCGACTGGCCGCCGTCACGTGACTACGCACGCAGTGACGTACGGAGAGAACAGACGGCGATAACTCGTGGCCCGCTGTCAGATCGTATGGGACATGTAAAATAGGACGCGCCCGATTAAATTATACCGCGTTCATCGTTCACCGCGCGCTAATGGAGCGTTCAGCGATACAAACTTCTTGCCGATGCTGAATGACTTCTCTGTGATTTCCACGGACTTTCATTCGCTGATGACATGAAATCGTGGAATGGGAATTTTGGAGGGAGGGACAAGAGTGACGCGGTGAGCTTGGGTGAAAATTTGAACGCGAGGTTGAAAATGAGTATGAGTTTGTACTAATGTAATATCCATGTACATAAAGGGATTTTAATAATAAAAAAATGGATTTTTTTTTTTTAAGAGAAATTTGCCTTAAAAACGATGGACAAAAATTTAAATGAGTTGAATTCGGACGCGAGATTTGTACGTGGGATAAAGTTTGTAGTGATGTACCTATGTTCACAAAGAGATTTTAATAATAGTAAAAAAATGGATTTCTTTTAGGAGAAATTTGTCTTAAAAACGATGGACAAAAATTTAAATATAAGTAAATGACGTTGTAAACGAAGATTTTTAAATGGAAATGTAACTTAATTTATACTGTCAGATTATATATTTAGAATACGAAAATTTAGGATAATTCAATTTAAAGATGACCGTGAAAGAAATTTGTTGAAATTGTGATCGGGTGTTCAGAAGAGAAGTGAGATTGAACAGAGTGTTTGAATGAAAATTTAGACACGAGATTTGTACTTGGGATAAAGTGAGAAAAAAGTCTGTACAAATGTAGATTGATAAAGGATTTTTTAAAGAAAAGTTTGTTTCAAGAATGATGGACAAACGTGAAATTTCAGAAAATTTTGTGAAAGACGATTTTCAATTTCACTTGAACGGAAATATAATTTAGTTCATCCTGTTCGATTATATCTTCAGGATGTAACGATTTCAAGGTGCTCGTAAAAAAAAATTTGTTGGAATTGCGACTGAGAGTATTCGAAAATAACGCGGAATTTTGTGACGACATTTCGGTCGTCGAAAAATATTCTAATATTTAAAGAATATAAAATTTCTGTTCGCGTAGGTTACATTTGCCAAGAGAGATTACGTCGCTAAAATAAGAGCGGGATTCTATATTTATGCGAGCGAAATTTAAAAAAAATCTGCGGTCATCATGAATGAGCATTCGCAAAAAGAGGAACAGTATCGCAGATTCTGCTATGAAATCGCAGGCAATTTCTTTAAAAAGTCAAAAGTCTCGAAGAATTTTCTTAAAAAATGTACACTGAAGGTAAGATATAAATTTCAATGCTAAAGAACGTTATTTTAATAATCGCGGTATATTACAGAAATTATATTATTTAATACAAAACGATAGAAAACACTTAAAAAAAAAAAAGATTTGTTGTCATCGCATTACTTTGTTAAACCTTGGAGAATCTAATAATCGAGACGCAACCTTCGTCTCGCTTTATCCTTCTGTAATGTCAGAATATATAAAAAGTATTTCATCCCATCCTCAACAGTATAAAGAAAAGCATCGCACGCTTCATTACCACAGCGCCGTCGTAAAAACGTAACAAGAGGAGAAGACGTAAAAAACCTGGGTAAAAATGCGCGCTAAAAGCGAAGTGTTCTTGAAAAAGAAAGTATGTCGCGCCGTTCATCGATCCTGTTCTCGAGTTCTCACAAAATTCAACATCTGTCTGATTTTTACGAAAGCAACGAAACACATGGTCGAGCACGTGTTCCGTGGAAAACTGGACATGGGATTAGTATTTCATGTCCGTGGAAATTTCGAGACCAAGGCCGAGTGGGCTTGACCATCTCGTCGAGAAGTTTGAAACAACCTTGTCCTTCACTCGGACAGAAGAAGGAATTTTAGTCTATCGAAAGAAAAAATAAATGCAACCGTCCGCAGTGGCAAAGTTGCTGGACATTTCTGGAAAAAGTGAAAGCACTTCAAGTCGAAGATCTCAAGCCTATTGTAAAAATGGAAAAAAAAAAAAATGGTCAAAATGGTAAAACTCTTTTAGAAAATTTCGCGACATTATCTTCCGAAGATAAAAAGAATCTCGTTCGTTTCCCAGAATTTCTCGAAATCCTTTAAACTTAATTCCCCGATCTCGATTTGAGATAAAATCACAGCACTCCAGCAATCTCGTTTTAGCAAGTTGGTCGGAAATCTCGTGAATGAAAGCATCCGAAGCTCTTTAATTGAGTTGTATGCAACGAAAATAACTCTTATCAAATTTATCAGTTTCATCTTTCTAGATTTATTAGCTCATTGGACTTATTAACGACAATACGACAGAGTCAATGTTATAAAAATTTATGTACGTGAAGCCAGATTCGACGTTTTTTCATTTTTGTTTCTAGAGAATTAATTTCCAAGGTATTCGCAATATTACAAGCAAGATTAAACTGAATGTAGAATGATTTTTTCTTTTTTCTGGCCCCAATTTCGGCTTCTAATCAGACTTTATCGCGTCTCGTACCTCACCTTGTACCTCGCGCGCGAGCTGAAAATTTCACAGGGTGGTTTTCGAAGTTGCGTACATACATGTCGTGTATGCCAGCGAGTTGAAAATTTCCTCGCGCGGCCAACAGAGACGAGAGGATGGTGGTCGAGGCACAGCAAGAGGGCTGCCTCGGAGCGTACGCATATTCATACGCTTTTCTCGCCGCGAGAGAGACTGTCTACTTTATTTTCGGTTCTTCCTGCGGCCCCTCCATTGGCGTCACACGCCAGCGCCGAAAAACTCCCGTCGTGAAATTCCATTCCAGTCTAGTACAGTCTGAAACGAACATCTCTCTCTCTTTCTCTCTATTCCTCTGTCCATTTGTTTCTCTTTTCTTTTCGAGCTTCGTGCTCTATGTTCCACCGTTTCTCCTTTTTCGGCGCGGTTCTTTTTTCGATTTTCGGCTGCCGATTTGCCACTAGAAAACTCGCCACCACACGCTAAAATAACCTAACCGAGAAGACTGACGCTTCCCCTCTGCGACAGATGTCAAAAACCTGTCGCAGCTCGACGCATTCTAACTTTGGAACTGAAGTCTGCAAATTCAAGTCCAACTGTGGAAAATAATACACAGCGTGGCAAATGAAAAGCGAAAATACGAGAGAGAGAGAGAGAGAGCCAGTATCCTGCAGATATCTGCGACTGGATCAAATTGATAACGAAAAAAAATTCCGTAGAATTAATCCCAAGACCATTTCAATACTTATGCAAACACAAAATGTAAGAATCATGTAAGTGCCATGTAAGTCGCTGATGATCTCAATGCCGATGCAACTTTGAACCTGCACCAAAAAAAAAAAAAAAAGAAACGAAAATTTGCCATCAGCAACGGACGCTGACCCTCAAGAGAGCACGTGAAGGCTGGTACACATCTGGGACTCTCCAAGCTTGCGTACGCTCGCAGACAAGGGAATTGTGGGAGAGGTAGAGGTTAGGATCGGGGGCCAGGTTTATGGTGGTACGTTGACGATTGTTTGGATTGCTTGTACAGGAGGAGGGTCCCGATGGTTTCCCGCTGTTTGTTGTCACGGTGGAATAATCGACGTGTTGCCGTATTGTGTTTAATTGACGAGCGACGGGAGGGTTCTTGAAACGCGGGGCCGTTCTTCGGGGACGTTGCGAAACTACGCAAATTGAACACCGTTCTGCTAATTCCAACTGCGGCAAATAATTTTCCAACGCGTCGAGCCTAAACCTAAGCAAAGTGTGTACGCGGGATGAGAAATGAAAATACGTTGTGAGTCAGTCGTGCAGATATCAGCGACTGATTAAATTGATAACGAAATTACAGATAACGACCCGCCACGTACGTGTACAATTAATGTCGAATTAATTACAAGCTTCGGGAAAATTAAATTCCCGTTAATTCTTCTGTAAACGCATTTCGTAAAATACTCGTCAGAAAATATTAATCCACGTGACTCTGCGTGACGTACAAAATTCTGTGCTTCGTCAAATAATCGATCGGTTTGAATTCTGAAATTTTCCTCTCGAAAACGAGAGGAATTCTACACATACGTAATTTCCTGCAATTAAAAAGAATGCGATCGTTCTTTTTTTATAAAATTCAAGAAGTTCATTCACTCAAGTGGGGATTCGATTCGGAAAATACGAAAAACTCGTACGGGAAATCCGATCGACGTGTTCGTTGTTCACACAAAACGCTTTTCTGTATTTTCCAAGGAGGGAAAACGCAAAACCGACGGATCGTGACAAAACACAGCGTTTCACTCGATAATCCCTTCACCGTTTATCCAAGAATTCGGGAAACAGCTCACAGTGACCCACGGATGAGCGAACCCGTCCAAAGATATCCCAAGAATCCCGTGCACAACTCTTTCTCTACCTCTGTCCCGAGGGACGATCGATTATTCTGTTTCTCCAACTCGGAAAGAACGAACGATCAAACAACTCCTCTTGCGTTTCACGAGACTCCCGACAGCACGATTTTTCCGATAATTCTCGTACAGGTGCACCGGAGCATTTTTTTTTTTTTTTTTTT